AGACATCGCTGTCGGACGTCAGGTTCTTCTTGGACGTGTGGTGGGAGGTGATGAAGCACAAGGAGGGAGAGGAGGACGTGACGGTCTCTGCGTTCGGTGCTCTCGTGGGTCAGCACGGGGGTGAGGTGTCTCTGGACGATGGTCTGCGGCCCCCAAAGAGGTTCAAGGGTGACCCTGTGAATGATCCTCCTGCTCCCACCACCCTGCTCATGGTGCTGGTGGAGGGGTTAAAGCAGATCCACGGGAGCGTCGCCCAGCCCCGCATGAAGTGCTATGCCTTGGCCAACTTGGCTGAGCTGCTCTCTGTGTTCTCTGAGCTGGAGCCAGTGGGCACCTCCCTCCCCATCACAGAGTACCTGCACAAGGTCAGCACCGTGGTCAGCCTCTGGACCAGTGACACTGAGAGCCAGTACCACCACAGCTGTCTGGGTGAGAAGGTGAAGGAAGCACAGAGAAGCATGAGCCTCTTGCCCATGGCCAAGCTCTCTCGTGAGGAGCTCTTTGTTGGCTTGGACTTTCTACACAGCTTGTTGCATTCCTGGGGAGAGGAGTTGCAGGATGCTCTGAACAGCCCTGAGGAGCTCTGCTATGAGAGCTATCGCCTCCTGGACACTCTTACCACCCTTGGGAAGAACCTGGTGTGCTTCTCAGAGACTAGAGACCTGGGTGAGGATGAAACACGTGTAGTGTTAAAGCTGACACAGATCATCAAGGACTTGCTCAAGGAGACTGGTGCCAGCCTGAAGAGCAGGGATTTGGACACCAGCCTTGTGTCTTCAGTTGCCATGGCAATCATTGAGGAAAAGCTGGACTGGCATGAGGACATGTGCTCTGTTTTTGCATCTGAAAAGACCTGGGCCTTTTCGAAGGCCTGGGTCGAGTGCCTTGTGAAAAACAAAGCTCTCTTCCAGAAACCAGAGCTGGTTTTGAAATTGCTGGAGATGCTGGTGAACTTTGCCACGTCGCACCAAGACAAGGAGGCCCGAGAGCTGCAGATGCAAGTGACCAAAGCCATTGTGGAGTGCTACACTGAGCTTTCATTAGCTGATAAAAACCAAGTGCTCTCAGGTGTCCTGACATCCTGGGGTGGACCAGGTCTGTCCCTGAACTTGCAGGTTGTCAGTGAGGGGTTCCAGGAGGACCTGAATGTGACATTCAACCAGATCACAAAGAGTGTGTCTGATGAAGGCCTGAGCAGGGCTGTGGTTTCTGTGGCCAGGCTCGCTCTGCTGTACCCCGAGGCCACAGTGAAGCAGGTTTGTCATCTTGCTGTGGTCAACTTAGGAGCACACCAGTTCCTTGCACAAATCCTCTGCTCCTTCCCAGCACTGAGCTTCCTGGAGACCCACGATGATCCAGGCAGGCCATGCAGCCTGGTGGTGAGGTGTCTGGAGGAGGCAGTATGGGGGAAACTTTCCACTGTGAGGGAGGAGGAGCAGTTCCTTCAGTTCTTGTCCTTTCTCATGCAGCCACCAGGCTCAGCCACCCCACTTGTGTCACCTGCAGAGGTGACCAAAGCCTTTGTCCTTCCCTATTTGAAGTCAGACTCTCCTCAGACTGAGCTGAGCCTGCAGATCCTCAGTAAAGTTTTGGGAATACAGTCCTGTTCCGAAGAGCACTGGATCAAATCCTGTCACCCGTTCCCTCTTCTCCTCAGCCTCTGCAGGCTTCTAGATGGTTACACCACATATTGGCATCAGCCTAGGGAGCAGCTCTTCCTCTCACTGGAGACCAAAGACCTGATTCTGAACAGCCTCTGCCAGCTCTGCCAGATGGTGGGACCAGAAACTGTCCCCTCCCCGGAGCTGTGGGTCCAGTCACTGGCTTGGCTTCACAGGAAGGTGGCATCACTGGACTGGACTGTCGGGCTAAGACTCAAGAAGCTTTATGGAGACCACTTCAAGAATGAGGTCCCGGCAACGCTGTTTGAGATCTGTACTCTTCCTGAGGACGAGTGGACATCGCAGCCTTTGCCAGCCTATGGACCAGGCAGTGGGCTCCTGGCGTGGATGGAGTGCTGCTGTGTGTCCCCAGAGCTCAGGGAGACGATGCTGACGCTCCTCACCGTCAACGTGGACAACCCTGAAGAAGTGAATCTCTTCAGCAAAGGGTTCCTGGTGGCTCTCATACAGGTCCTGCCTTGGTGCAGCCACAGCGAGTGGAAGAGGCTCAGCTATGTGGTTGAGAACCTGCTGGAAAGGCAAATCCTGCACGTGCCGTACACGCTGGAGTACGTGCAGTACATGCCCCTGCTCAACCTCAGGCCTTTTGCCTGCTATCTCCAGTTCTCCGTGCTCTTCCTGCGGGGCTTCCAGCTCCTCTGCAGCTCCAGCTGTTCCACCTGGCTGCCGGCAGAGGCTTGGCTCCACGTGGTGCAGCTGTACTGCAGCAGCCTGACAGAGCTGTTGACCTCCGCCAAGAGCACTGCAGGGTCCCCCTCACATCCCTCTGAGGACAAGACCTCCACGCAGGAGGTGTCCTTCGTCTGCATCCAGATGTTTTGCCACCTGCTGCACGTCTCTGCCATGCTGCCAGGCGAGGGCTGCAGGGAGCCACTGGCAGTGGTGGCATTGGAGATCCTCTCGCAGTACGAGATGTTCAGCAAGGCCGACACGTCCCCCAGCAACGCTCTGCGCAGAGCCAACGAGAGGCACTTCTTGGAGTCCATCACCGACAACGTGAGCGACGAGGCACTGCGCAGCACCCTCCTGCAGAAACTCAGCAAGGTGGGAGCACACTTGGCTGAAGAGACAGCTTGAGGGGCTGGAGAGAGCGACCAAGGAGAGCATTGACCTGCCACAGAAGGGATCCTTACCTGGATGTTGTAAGATCTGTAATAAAACCTATTTTCTCTTTTGAGTGTATTTCCCCTCATTGTGTTTTCTTCCAGCCTGCCTAAGCAGTGAAGGAGCCATGTAAGGATGGGTAGGAGGAACTATTCTAATTTTCCAAAGGAATAGTTGTGAGGACAGCTGTTCCTGAGCTAAGCTGCTGGTTTCTGTGGCTCCAGCCTTGCCTGCTGGCAGTCTGGATTTACACAGAGCCTGGCAGCCTCCGGGAGCATCAGGGAAATCACTTCCCTCCGGCTCCCCTGCCACCTTCCCTCTCCTAGTCCAAGGTGGATTGTTGGTTTGCACGTGCTGCTGGAGGCTGGGAAGCGAGTCAGAGGCTGGGAAGCAAGTTGGGTGAGTCCAGGACAGGCAGGAACCTTTAGAAATGTGTGTTGCTCCTGCCTGGAGGTGGGGATGCAGCAGTAACCCGGTGTGTAACACCCCCACCCAGAAATGAACGGCACGTGGGAGAGCCAGCCCGTGGTGTGACTCAGAAAGGAAATCTTTATTGGTCTCCTGATAGTAAATAGGGCAGTGTTAGTGCAAACTGAGGTGCCTCATTGGCTGTTTTTGTTTTTTTCTGGTCCTTACATAAGGCACATTATTCGCAATGACAGCAGCGAGATACAAACATCTGGAACGAGTTGCAAGCGGTTTATAACATCAGCTGGTCTCGGTGGTTAATGTGACAGCAACAATCGGCTGCACGTCGGAAGAGGCCCCTTTTTTTTTAACTCTATCCAGTGCAACAGCCGTGGCTGGGATGAGATCCAACACCCAAAAGAACCAGGTCTCACAGAGCTCGGCCGCTGGTGTCAGACAGAGAAAGGCACAGAGTGGCCACAGGTCTGTGGGGTCTGCTGGGGCTGTGCTGGTGTGGTCACCTGCCCTGGAGCAGGTGCAGGAGGCTGTGGGGAGGAGGCAGCTGCCCTGGCTGCAGGGAGTGAACTGTACTGAACTGCTCACTGTACTGAACACCCGCAGGGTGAGCCAGGGAGCTGTGACTGAGGGTGGAAATGGGCTGAACTGGTGCAGGACCCAGCTCAGCACTCTGCTCTGAGGTTGCTGGTTCCTCCTGTGCTGCCCCAGTTCTGTCCCTGGCAGCCTCCTGGGGAGTGGGATGGGGCTGGAGGGATGAACTGTCTGACCCGAGGTTGGGCAGTACCACAGCTGCTGCCAGGGCGTGGTGGTGCCAGCTGGAGGGGAGAGCAGGCTGGGGTGTGCCAGGCTGTTTGAAATACCTGCTGAGGGGATGTGGAGCAGATAAAAGCAGCTGTGGTTAGGGGAGTGGGGTGAAAGTTGCATCCCCTGCCAACGAAGGGCTCTGCGTAGTGCCCTGTGTGTTGGCAAGATGAGGACTTGGCAGTCTCCTGTTCCCTTCAGCCACAGGCACCCTGTCCTGTGTTGCTTTGAGACAGCATAACCATTCCTCTGTTCTGGTGTGAGCTGCTCCCCTCCAGCTCCACTGGGAACACCAGAGACCCCATGAGACTATCAGACAGACATCAGACACTTGTAGTGAAAAGCACCTTTGGGTAAGTGGAGCTTTAAATGAGCTTGAGCCCAGCAGCAGCATTGGGAGCTGCAGGTGGGAGGTCAGAGGCTGAACGGGGCTGTAGTGTAGAGGTGAAGTCAGTGAAGGTCAGGAACAGCTCTGCAGAACCATGCTGCAGCCCTGGGCCTGGCTCTGCTCTCAGCTGGAGCTGGAGGATGAGTTGGGGCTGTGGAGGGTCCAGCACACAGCTCACCATCCCCATCCCCACTGCCTGGGGCTGGGCCTGCTCCAGCATCCCTTGGCTGCAGGTTCCTCCAGCGCTGGTGTCTGGTGTCAGCGCTGGAACACGTGGCGGGGGGAGGGTTGTAACAAACCCCTCTCGTGTAACCGTTCCTCGGGTGGTGCTGCAGCGTCCAATCCCAGAAGGAATGTCGTGTGCTTAACGTGCTGGTTCCTACCCCACGGGCAGGAGGACACAAGGCACTGGAAGAGTGGCGTGGGAGGAAAAAAAAGCCTTTCCTTGCCCAGGCTGGTGCTGCCTGGCTGCTTCCAGCGTGATGGTATCGCTGCTCCCACCGCTCTGCTCCCCGTGCTGCATCCCACAGCGCTGGCAGTGCCAGTGGAAGAGCTGGCAGGGGGGTTAACCCTGCTCCAGCCCCTGGGCTGCCTTGGCAGGCTGTTATCTGCTCCGGTCTGCGGGGGAGCTGCCGTAGAGACGCGCGGCTTTGCGGCAGATGAGCCTGAACCCGTAGAGCGTAGAGCTGGGGGGCGATGAGGGAGGCGTTGGCGATGTTGCAGTGCAGGGGGATGCGGAAAGGCACCATGTAAACGGGAATTCCCCCCTCCCTGCCGTAGGCCGCGTACATGAAGGGGAAGAGGAGGATCCGGCAGAGGAAGAAGGTCACCAGGACGATGATCCCGTTCACCTTGTGCAGGAGGGTGTCTTGCATTTTGAGCTGGGAAAGGAAGGAGGTGAACGGTGGGGTGAGAGGCATCCCATTGCTCCTTGGGTGCTGGTTGTGCTGGGAGCAGCCCCAGGAGGGCTGGAGGAGGGGGAGTGGGAAAGTGGGGTGGGAAGGGATGGAGGAGGGCAGAGGGCTGGGGTGGGAGGGAGCACTGTGCAGGGAAGGTACAGGCAGGAGGGGGCAGCACCAGCCCATGGCACAGCCCCCAGTGCTGGGATGCCACTGGGAGTGCTGCTTACTGGGGGAAAGGGATGGGAGGCTGGGAAAAAGGCAGCGCTGTGAGAAGGTTTGGATTATAGCTGTGGGGCTGCTTCTGTCTGAGACCCCCCAACCCAGGGGGTGATGGAACCTGGGGAAGGGAATTTTTTTTTAGTATGAACTGCTGGGGGATTCCCAGACCAGAACCCTGTCCCTCTTCACCTACCTGCATGAGGATTTTGCCCAGAGATACAAAAGGAGTGCTGAGCTCTGCTGTGAAGATGCAGCCCACGAAGAAGTCACCCTGCTTTCCCCTGAAGTACTGCAAAGAAATCCAGCAGTGAGCACAAAGCCCTCCAGAGAGGTGTCCAGGAGCTAAGACTGAGCATCCACAGGTGATCACGGGCCCCTCTAGCCCTTACCTGGGTGATGGGGGTGAGCACGATGAGGATGAAGAGGTGGTGGGTCACCATCAGCCGCTCCTGCAGGAGGAAGCTCCACACACTGGCCAGTGAGTGCTTCTTCTCTGCAATTCCCTTTTCCTGGCTCTTGTGCCAATGGCAGAGGTACATAACGTAGATGTCATAGGTCATGTAGGGAACAAGGACCCAGATGTACTCTACAGCCAGCCAGTGCCTAGGGGGAGAACAGCACACACAGAGGCAGTCACCATCAGCCGCTCCTGCAGGAGGAAGCTCCACACACTGGCCAGTGAGTGCTTCTTCTCTGCAATTCCCTTTTCCTGGCTCTTGTGCCAATGGCAGAGGTACATAACGTAGATGTCATAGGTCATGTAGGGAACAAGGACCCAGATGTACTCTACAGCCAGCCAGTGCCTAGGGGGAGAACAGCACACACAGAGGCATCACGTCCAGCACCT